TGGGAGTCTTGTTCATGCATTGCACAAGTATGCTTTAAGAGTAATTATGGTATTTTTCCATTAATGTATGATGATATATATGTTGATGTAACTTATGAAGTGTTTCTCTTATGTCATGCTAAACTAGATGCTTTGATTAGGCCTATGACTATGATGTTAGCTCTTATGCTCACGACTTATGTTATTATCTCTTATGATTATGGTATATGTTTTATCTTGACTAATGTCTCTTATATGCTTATGTTGATTATTTATGATAGACATCATATTTAGTACATTATTGTCCTAACACATACTTTTGCCTACATTTTGATCAAATGTAGGGTTCGACAATATTGAATTCTACCCTTGTGGCTAGGTTCACAGTAGCTCAAGAAGAAAAGTGTTGGTGAGTCCTCATAGCATCGAGGACTTGATCATCCTTTTCTTTTTATGTCTTTCTTTTATGTTTGGATTTTGTATGGGTTGTGTCCATAACTCTTTTCAAGTATTAGATGGTTTGAGACAAGTGTAATAAGACTTCCGCTTTGCTTTTATAAAATACTTCTATTGTATTGAAAAAATTGTTTTTAATTTTCATATTTTTCTATTATCGTATGTTTTGATATGCTAAGTGGCTTACATGGGGTCCTTCAGGGCTGTATGTGCCATGTTACGTCTAGGGGGTACCCCTGGGTCGTGACAAACTTGGTAATCAGAGCACAAGGTTTAAAATGGTTCTAGGATGTCTCAAACCACGTCTAGTAGAGTCTTGTTCATATGTGTGAAGTGCACCACATTTATGATTGAGAGGCTATTAGATGTGTAGGAAACTTCACTTTTTCATTCTCTAAGTCGATCTATGGAGTTTTACTCTATTAGATCTTTCCCCTAATCCGTGCTCAATGGTTTCAGGATATGACTACCACAAGGGCTAACATTAGAAGGGATGAGGAAGACAATGTGGATCAAGAAGTTCCTCCTCAAGTTCCAATTAACCCTTTGGAAGAGAAAGTAACAAGTGAGAAGTTTAGGTTTGGTTTTCAAATGTTAGCTCAGGCTGGGATAGAAACTCCGGAATTTTATGGGTCAAGGATGGAGGAAAATCCTCAAGATCTTATAGAAGAGGTCTCTAAGGTGTTGGACTTTGTGGGAGTGACTCCGGTAGAGAAGGCGGAGTTATTTTCTTATCAGCTCAAAAGGATTGCTCAAGTTTGGTTTAGTAAATGGAAAAAGGCTAGACCGGTAGGAATGGGTCCCATAGAGTGGGAAGGGTTCAAGAGTACATTTCTAGATAGGTTCTTCCCTTTAGAGATGAGAGAAGCTTTAGTGCTTGAGTTCATTAACCTTAGGCAAGGTAGTATGAGTGTCAAGGAATATACATTGAGGTTCACCCAACTGTCGAAGCACGCTCTAATTCTAGTGTTCGATCTTAGGTCAGGAATGAGTAAGTTTGTGTCGAGTGTGTCCGACTTGGTAGTGAAAGAATGTCGTACGGTCATACTTGATCATGATATGAATATATCTCGTCTTATGGTGTATGCCCAACAAATGGAAGATGAGAAACTCCAAGACAATAATAGGGAGGTGAAAAGAGCTAGAACCGGTGATAGAAATTTCTCTAATGATAGATCCGATGGACCAACAAAAGCTTTCCAACCAAAAGAGAGTGTCTAACCCTAAGCCTCAAAAAAGGAGTAATAGTGAATATGTGTTGCTTAAGCCTACTTAGACTAAGTGTGTAAGGAAGCATTATGGTAGGTATCTAGCTGACAATGATGGTTGTTATGGTTGTGGTAATGAGGGTAACAAGATGAGAGATTGTGCAATACTTAGGGCTAAAGGGAGAGAGGCCAAGCAAGCTTATCTTAGTGGTCCGGATTCCAATGCTCCCAAGCAAGAATAGGTTATATGCCCTCCAAGCTAGAGGTGAACAAGAGTGTCCTCCAAATGTTGCTCCCAATATGTGTTTTATGCTTATTTAGATTCTGGTGTTGCTTGTATTTTGTGACTTGATAGACTTTGATGTTGTCTTTGGTATAAATGGGTTGCATTATGGTTATGTGTATTGATAGTAGAACCCAACTTAGTCATGATGAGTTTTAGGGTATGTGGATAAATTTTATGAATAAGGTGTTTAAGCAATGCCTAGATGTGTTGAGTGAGTAGACTCTCTAAGAAGGGTAGAAATGTAATTCACCATGGTTTAGAATCATCTTGTGCGATAAATATGAAAGCTTAGTGGTAACTAGATCCCACCTTAGAGTTGAAAGAAATTGTGCTATGAAAATCTCCATAGGCTTACTCCCAAGGGGGAGATAGTGTACTTAAGATATCAAGGTCGTTGAGTGTTCTTGATGTTCATGATTTAGGTTGACTTGAAATTCTCACCTTGAGAGGTGTAGTGAGTTTAGGAAGTTTAGTCCCGGTTTTGTAAGCTCATATGAGATCTTGAGTGGTGTTGGTAAGGTTACTTGTGAGCTAGAGTTGCTTAATGAGTGTTACCAATGTATTTGGTTTTCCATGTCTCTAGGATATAGAAGGGTATTGAAGTTCCGACATTCGTAAATCCCTTAAGAAGAGTTTGGAGTTAGTGAGAACCTCTCTAATTTAGAAATATCGGTAGGGATCTTAGACCGGAAAGTTAAGAAATAAAAGAGAGCAAGGGAGTTGTTTCCATGAAGGTGTTAAGGAGTGGTCTTTTAGTGAGGGTTTTTAGGTGAGGGTGCTACTAGGGAGGCCAAGGGCCCATGAGATGTCCCGATGTCCTCATCTTTTTTCCTTATATTCCTCCTTTAGCATTTAAATGGTGAGTTCCTCTTGGTTTGTGCCTTATGTGAAGTCATGTGTAATTTATGTGTTTCCATGATTTCCTTATGTTATGCATGTTCTTGATGAAATTCATGTTTACTAAGAAAGAAAAAATGAGTTTTCATGTTTTATGTTCCTCATGTTGTTGTGCATTTAGTATGAGTTGCATATTTGACTTCATGAGATGAGTTGATAAACATGCTTTAGTATGCTTTTGAGAGTAACTGCATAATGCCTCCATGATATTGTGTTGAGCATGCTTTTAGTTGGAGAAGGTAGTTCCTCCTATGAATGTGAGAAATGTTGAGTTTTATACATAATGGGTTGTTAGGTGTAGTTCCTACCTCCTTGTGTTACATCGATTATGTTTGAGATAGAGTTGATGTATCCTCCTTTGAATTTTGCATTAATTTGATGTTGCATGCATGATGGGCTGCTTGTCTTGAGTCTTTACTTCCGTAAGGTGTCTAGATCGTCATTCGAAGACGAATGTTCCCAAGGGGGAGATATTGTAACACCTCAAAATATTCTAATGCAAGGGTCTAAGGAAGGGTTCAAGGACGGTAAAAGAGTCCACAGTCAGTGAACCCATCCTTGAACACAAGCCTTGTGAAAAATATTCTAAGGGAAGGGTTCAAGGACGATGGAAGAGTCCACGGTCAGTGAACCCATCCTTGAACCCAAGCCTTGTGAAAAATATTCTAAGGCAAGGGTTAAAGGACGGTAGAAGAGTCCACGGTCAGTGAACCCATCCTTGAACCCAAGCCTTGTGAAAAAATATTCTAAGGCAAGGGTCCAAGGAAGGGTTCAAGGACGGTGGAAGAGTCTACGGTCAGTGAACCCATCCTTGAATCCAAGCCTTGTGAAAAATATTCTAAGGCAAGGGTTAAAGGACGGTAGAAGAGTCCACGGTCAGTGAACCCATCCTAGAACCTAAGCCTTGTGAAAAATATTCTAAGGCAACGATTCATGGACAAGTTCACAGCCAGTAGAATTGTCCACGAACGGTAGACCCATCCGTGGAGATAGACTTAGAAAAAAATCCAAGCCTTTGGTTCACAATAGCCTTTATTGACCGTGAATCAATGAATGGCCGGTGAAAGCCTTCTTTGAAAGGCACCGTTAATTATTTTTTTCAAGGTTATATGGGTGATTTCCTATGCATATAATGCCTAAACTAGATCATTTTAATCCTAATCCTAGACCCTATATAAGTCATTCTAAGTCAAAATAAACTCATTCACATTATTATTAACAAAACCCCAAATATTTTCCCCAAAGTTTATCCTCTCCAAAAAAATTCTCTCTCTAGAAAACTCAAAGAAGAAGAAGAAGAAGAAGAAGAAGAAGAGGGTCAAGCTAGGTCAAGTCAAGACTCCATTGTTTCAAGCTTGCTAGGATTTATAATCAAGGTTTGCTGGCTTATTCATTCATGGATCCCTTTCATCCATGAATACCCATGTTTCCCCCAATTGTGAAGATGAATCCCCAATTTTAGTTAGGGTTCCTTCCTATATTATGGGTATTGTTGTTTGTTGATCCAATTGAGTGGATAATGATCAATTATGATTGAATTAGTAGTATATCATGTTTTTAAGAAAGAAATTTCCCAAAATCTAGGGTTTTGTCTCCAAGTCATTGGTTCCTTTCAAAAATGATTTTTATGTTTGATTTAGTTTATATTATGAATGAATTGATGTTTTATTATGGTTTTACGTTGAATTCCCAGTAACCCATGAAAACCCCATATTACTCAATTATGATCTTGTGATGTGGGTTTGTTGATTATAGAAGAATATTATGAGATTATGCTTGTAGTAATTGAGTTAATTGAATCAAGTTAATATCCATGTCTAATATAGTAATTCTAGATGTGTTGATGGAATGTGATTTATGGTCCTTGAAGGGCAAAGTATAAGAATTATGCATGATTATGAGATTTATGTATATATGTTTTATGAACACTTTGAGAGTAAAATGAATATGATTATGAGCTAGTGTTGTGTTATTGGAGGTTATCCTCATGTACACACTTATGCATGTGTCACGACCCGATTTCTCAAGTCATGATGACACCTACTATAACCCACCAGCAGGTAAGCCAACCCGTAACCCAGAACAACAAGTAATGGGTCTGAGGGTAGAAACTAAACAAGAGTAGGCAAATAACAATATAGACAGGCAGAAGCAAACCAAAACATATATACAAATAAAGATCCCTCCCAGAACCTGGAAGTCACTAGTACAGAGCTACTAACAAAATGAGTATATAAGTCCCAAAAATGGACAACATAGACTGGACTGTCTCGAAAGGTAAAAGACAAGTCTAAATATACAGATGGAGACTGAAATAGTACAAAGCGTCGTGTGCTCACTCCAGTCTCCGGATCAGTCTGCTCCAAGCTCGATCAACGCTGGCTACTAGTGCCCGGACCTGCATCAAGAAATAGATGCAAAGCATAGCATGAATACCAAAACAACAGGTACCCAGTAGGCATCATAGGCCGACTGAACTTGAAAAGTAAAGGCAATATGAAAAGAAGGAATAACAGAAACCGAAGTCAAGAACTAAAATCTAACTAACAATGGAATGCACACGAGTGTAGAAAGAACTAACTAAAGTAATCTATAAGCTAACTACATCTAACTGGACCCCCATAAGCCCAGAAGGTACACACGTGCGCAAGTTAAATAAAAACTCGAACGGACCCCCATAAGCCCGACGAGTACACAGAATAACTATAACTAAAGAGAATTGCATATGAGAACCGAAGAATGGAGAACACGAACCAGAACCTCAACCCCAATTTGTAAAATCTGATAGTGCGGATGCCGGACCTCAAACCGGATGCTCAGCAGAAGTACCCAAGTAACTAATCATAAGTATCAAATATCTGAGGCCGGAACTCTAACCGGATGCTCTATATCAGTATCTGGGCAATAGAGGCCAGACCTTAAACCAGAGAGCACCCCCAAGTCGCGACACGGCGTATTCGACCTCTCGGAGGTCTAATACAAGCCCTTAGCATTCATCACATTAGATATGTAAAATAGTGCGGAATTAAAAACTCTTTAAATAAAATCCCATAAGACTCAAAGGTCACTTTTAAAAACGTCATTCAAAATTACACACGCGGAATACTAAGTCTCTTAGCCATCTTAGACATAAACGTGAAAACATACTAGGGACACGGCCCTTTACAATCAAAAGAAGTCTATTAAGTCTATTACAAGAACCTTATCATAAAACTAGAATAGAAAAGTCTTGTCCTCGACATATGAGGACATACCACAAGATCTTGGAAGAACTTCAAGCTCCAAGCTTACTATAGAACCCGCTCACTTTCCGGAACCTACACTAGTAGAAAATAGAGAAATATGGAATTAGCACAATTAAGTACTAAGTATGATGACCATGCAAAAACATGCCAAAACGGACATTTACAAGGAATAAATGCTTTCATATTATTTTGATAAAACCTACTTCACAAGTATAAGAGACATAATACAAGTCAACATTCACATATAGGACCATAACCAACCATACACATACTCAACATATATCCATATACAATCCATGCTTAACTTTAAAAGAACACACGTCATTTCATTACCGTAGGACCTCTACCTAATATAACCTTAAGACACACTTGAGTGAGACAAGAAGTGACCGCCCATACAACCTCTTCAAGCACACTTAAGTGTTCCTCAAGATTACCTTAGATAAGGACATTTCCTTTATAATATAACATCAATAGACCAACATTCTTTAAGAAACCATTTAGGAGACATTCAAGCACATAAGGGGACATTCACATAATAGTCGTTAGACTTAGGGAACTCACTTTAGTATCTTCAAAGCCTACTCGTGCCATGTGTAGATAGCATCCCATACTACTACCTACACGTTGTAGAACCTATCAAATAACTAGAGTGCACATCCCACATGATGGGAATAGGCATAACCGACATAGACCATACTAGCTAGGTATGGAATCCGGAGTCTATCCTACTCCGTGGAGGTTGTTCTACTTGCCAAAGGTAGAACTAGTAAGCAACCCATGTAGGCACATGGTTAAGGGATGTCCAAGGAAGTTCATTGTGCCTAATCTCATACTCAACTAGGACACCTTCCTAACCACATCCACTCGGTGCTAGCCTTGTTTCCCATAGAGTATTCAATCACATATGTACTAGAGAGGGTTCCTTTTCTAGTTCAACCAACTCATAGTACCTCTTCCCAAGAAAGGCCCCATCTCTAAGTCAT